GCATTTTTGGCATCAGTATCGATCACTAATCACCCCCTGATAGCTATTTTAAAAATATATTTCATGTACAGAATTGACATCTCTACAGATTTATTATAAGTATAGATAATGGTAATACATATTGCAAATATATGTTTCAAACGCAAATTTTGCGCTGAAAATGATGAAATAAAAAACATGATAAAATTAAATAATCATATAGTAATTTTTTTTTTTTATCAAGTTTATTTTTCGTCATCTTTCTTAGCAGTTATCATTTTAAACCAAATACGCAGAATAGTTCACCCAGTAATGTTTATTCGTATATATTAAACATAAGAATAACAGTATTGCCCAGCGCGCGATTCAACAATGAAAAGTGAGCAACTCTCTCGCTAGCGCGCGATCTGTGTACGGAAGAGACGGTTAAACATAGATAGCTGGTTTTAACTGAAGCATTCATTTTAACCTAACGATGACTAACGCTAATAAATTACAGTGGAAGAAAAGAGTAAGCACCGATAATCGATTTTAGCTGAAGTAATTTATAAAGCGTCGAATAAAAGTTATTCAGTAAAAACAAATTTGAATTCAGTATATCGTTTTACTAGCCTCAAATATAACGCAAATATACTATATAATATATATATATATTTTTGCAAAAAGCGACTTAGATATGTTAGTTTTTACTACATCTAGTAAAATTAAAATATCTGGTAAAATTCAAACAGTCAAGCCAATTAACGTGGGATACCTAATTTTAGCGGAATAATCTCACAGGATATTTACTCTAAGAATAAGGAAATTTAATTAGATTCTAAGTAGGGAACCCTTCTATTACAAAGGCGATGTTCTTGGCTGTATCATTTCGGTGGTAATTTTTTTACCATTTCGGTAGACACTTTTCATTTCAGTGGACCCCCGAAAACTTGTCCTTTAATATTACAGTAAGTGATGATTTTTGAATTTGACTTGTAGGATCGTTTTAAAATAGAAAAAAAACGAGTATCAATATATTATCTTTTTATTATTTTGCACCTTCTTTGCATTTTGTGCAAAAACTATGGGAGATACGCGAAAATATGTTGATACCTTTTTTATAGGAAATAAATTTTTCTACAACTTTGTATTAGGAACTTTTTCTATTTTCCCAGCCAGTCGCGAGATATTGACGAATAACCCGTTTTTGCACTTGTTTTTTTAATAATAAACAATGTTCCGTATATTGCAAAACGCTGCAAATTTAATACACGTTACAAAACGGTAAAAACAACATTATTCTAAATTTGCAGCGTGTTACTAATTTTTTTGGCAATTCTATTAACAAAAAACACTTTTCACCCCTTTTTAACCCTTTCCGTACACCCCAGAATGCTGCAAAATCACCCGGTAAGTTATTTTACCTTCTTTCGAAAACCCTCAAAATTTCAGCAAGTTACTAATTATTTCCGGGTTTAAGGCTTTAATGACTGGCCTAATTACCTTACAATGTGTGATGGATAAAAATTAAGTAAATTAATCTAGCAGTGATAGCGAAGCTACCCCCTAAACAAGCAATTCAGCTAATGATTGTAATGCAAGAGCATATATAGCTTGCATTGTAATGCAAGAGCAACGAGTATAATAAAACAAGGGAATTCGAACAGTAACAACAAAAGAAAATAAATGGACAACACAGTAGATGGAAACCACATACCAAAACTCACTTTTTGACAATTTTTACAATACGCTTAGACCGAGTATGTGTCTGCACAGGCTGGGATATCGCTGGGTCCACGGCGGGCTCGCTGGTCACCGCAACATCCGCAATCTCAGTACAGGGAAACTGGTTCATTGCAGCAGTTCATCAGTGCAGGAGATCCGTAGACGGTTGCCTTTCGGTGTCTTAATGTAAACGCTGCCATCCATTGACTACACACTGGAGACTCCGAAGTGATTTCGCGCGAAGTGGAACAGGGATTGTCGATTCTTAGTAAGAAATTCTCTCAAAACAAGTGAAGAGCCTTTGAGCTTGCTCTTGCTTTTCCACACAGTCATCACCATCAGGCCTATTACGGCCCTCAGTTACAGACCTGAGCCGATGAAAAAGTTTTATAGCACTTGTTTCAAGGTCCATGATACCAAGGTGTTTTTGGAGCAATGTTATAACTGTTGAGTTCAAGTCCTCTTCAGAGTTTTCTGGAACACCACAAAGAAGAAGATGTTTGCTTCGATGCCTTGCTTTGTGCTGGTCGAGAGATTTTAAAATCTCACTAATCTGTTGCCTAAGAAGTGACAAGATACTCCAGACGAATTCCTTGAACGCCTGAAACTCATCCTGTATCTGAGGGACCTTTACCTTATCTGAAGACTTCAGTTGGGCTTCAAACTGCTGCATTCTTTGCATCAAGGTGGTCTCCAGTGACTTCTGGGTTTCGAGTACAGCCGCAACACTGAAGTGAAGTGTAGTGTGATTTTATATTTGAGCAAATAACTGTGAGTGACGTGGTGGCAGGTTAATGCAGGTCAGTTCCTCAAAATGACATCACACAGTGCTGCCTACAATGTATGAGGTGACTAAGGGTAAATACTAAGTAATTAACATGGAATTTATGAAAAACACTATGTTTTAGTATTTTTAAAATAAATTAACTTAAAGAAGCAATGTAGATTTATTTCACGCCTACCGCCAAAAAAATTAGGGCCATCTTTATGTTCAAGTTTACCTGGTTTTCATGCATTAACAGGATGCGATTATAATCCATCATTTTTCCAAAAAGGAAAAATAAACCATATTAAATATTTATAAAAAAATCAAAATTATCAAAAAGCTTTGACAGATCTTGAAGTTGCACATATAACCGGATCACGTGATGAAATTTTGCCAATTTAGGAAGCATTTATTTGTGAAATTTGGATATAAAAATATATCAAATATAAATGCAGCACGGTTTCAAAAATTTTGTGTAACTTTCAAAGCTAACATTGAAGATGAACCTTTCAAAAAAGCTTTAAAAAATTGTGATCCCTCTACTTTACCTCCGTGCAAAGCTGAATTACAACAACATCTTTTAAGAACGCAATATATAACAAGTATTTGGAGAAATGCATATTTGCGATTCCCCAACTCTTTGACACCGAATAGAAACGGATGGACACTTCATGAGGATACGCTACATTTCCACTGGTTCGACGGAAATTGTATGCTGCAATCAGTATTCGACGCTATTGTTCATGAAAACAATAAAAAAAAATATTGGAAATGATACTGCAGGTGCGTATACATATTTTTTTTATAACTGCTGCATTTTAATTTCTATGATTTATTTTATAAATCCATATATATTAGGTACTTTTCGCAGATAATGCACAGGTATCCGAATTAGACACAGATGAATCTGAAGTTGATTCTGATAGCTCTGATGAAGGAGCATCTACAGAAGAAGAATGACAATTTCTTTCTGATATGACAGGGAATTAATTACATTGGTATTTGTATACTCATAATAATTCTGCAGCTGAATTATATTATGAGTATATAATTTTTCTATTTCAATAAATCTGATTTTGTAATTTTATGTTTTTGTAATCATTACTTTATAAGGTCACCTGGCAGGTAGAAAGTCTCACCGAAATGATCTGTCTTTTTGAGAGTCTTATTGTTTAGTTATAATTAATACTCTATTAAAATTTTAAGTTGCCTCAAATACATTTTTTATATTTTTTTGCAAAATATTTTTGAACGCGTCTGGCAATGTTAAAACCCCGGCTGAATCGTCTGGCTTATTTTTTTTATATTCTGTAAATATTAAACTACAACATATAAAAATTGCAAATTGCCTCAAGTACATTTTTGGATAAAAAAAAATATAATATTAAAAATTTTAGGGTTGATTTAGCCCCGCTACTCACTAGCCAGGTCTGCAGTTTCGTGTTGGGATATAATAGGAGAGGTACAGGACAAGTTTTCAGCTTGCCTCAAATACCTACCCAAAAATTCTTGCCAGCTCTCGGACTAATTGTTGTATGTGATTTCAATAGAAGCCGCCGGCGCGTGTAACATCACCATATACTTCCGAAAAGCGGCAAATTTCTTTGAGAAGTCAGTACAAAACCTTTGATGCCGCATTATCAAAGTGCCGATGGTTAAAACAAAACTATGCACTCTGTTTGATTTCAATGGATATTTTTTTATTCGCTATGTATGTTTATGGTATTGGTCGTAATGCGCATAGGTCCAGTTTTTCATATTCTTTGATACAGTTTTTTGCGTCTCATAGAATTCCTAAGCGTACCTATACACCGACCTGTTATACCTAACTACTCCGTGAAATAGCGCTAAGTCCTAGCTGCACGACGCAAGAGTCTTGCCGGATTAGTCTTGTTCTTGCTCAAGTCTTGCACGGTCAGTCTTGGTCTTGGTCTTGTTCTTGCAAAAATGCAAGAACAAGACCAAGACTGCAAGACCAAAACTGAATGTGGGCAAGACTTACAATTATAGGTGACAATAAAAGCCAAAAAAATATACAAAAACATTAAAAATGAATGGTATAAAAACTGCAAGTTTCGGCAACAATTAGTGTAGACGCTACCAGACGTATTGCTCGTGTTTGAGAAATAAAGTACCGTCTCCATCTACCTACGGGTTTTTCGGTGAAGGATATGGGCTTGGATTTAGCTATGGTCGAAAATAGACTGGCATTGTGAAACATCACTCAAGAATGTTTCAGGAACAAACATCGTTCATAGCTATTTTTTCCTACTATTCCACATTGTAATCTCTTTCACAACAAACATCGTTCATAGCTATTTTTTCCTACTATTCCACATTGTAATCTCTTTCACTAACAGTTTAAAACTGAGTAGATAAATTGCACTCGAACCTAAAATCCATCCGGCAGAAAATTTATACGTATACAAGTATCTCCGTTTCTTACGGTCCGTTGTCCGACGTAAACAAAGGATGTCTACAAGCGCCTTTAGAGGCTCTCTTGGTAGTTTATTGGTATTATTCTAGATTACCTATGTTAAATAATACACACCTTGTACGTTGGCGGGAAAGTTATTGGAGCTTCCTTGAAATCTCTGAAGGCAGCTCCGTCTTCTAGTACAGCGGTGAGTTGGTCTGCGTGCAAGAGACCGTGCGGCAAGTGATGCGGCAAAGGAAACTACCGACAAAAACAGTAGTTCTCAAGATTTCGGCCTCCGTGGCTCGAGTGGTGTGTATAATGCGATTCAACTAAGATTAGGACCAATTGGGCGCCATAGTGTGACGTCACAGCTATCAATTCAAACCAAATAGGTAGAGTGAGCAAAAAAAAATTTTATTTAATAAAACTTACTTAGATTAAGTGAGAAAAAACATCAGCAACTTAAAGTGACATTTGTTTGACGATTTAGGTTATAAACCATTCAAAGCTAAAGCTCAATAAATGAAAAAAAAAATAACCAATATTATTAACAATATTTATTATTGTTTGTTTATAACTGTTTGGTTTTTATTCTAGAGTTAACCGAAAAGGGTTTCAAGCTTTTTTTTGCAAATCGTACTTTTCAAGCGACATTTGACAGATGGAGGTCATTGGCTTTCCTATTCTTATTTGAATCGCACTATACGCCGGTTTTTATGTGTCGCCTACCCAGAGGTCCCGGGTTCGAATCCCGGTGTGGCAAATGTTTGTGTGATGGATACGAGCATTTGTATTTGTGTTTAAGTAAGGGCATTTGTATCAAACTCATGGATATTTGTGTTTTTCTAAAAAAAAATATACTGCTTTCTGGACGGCCAGTGATTGCAACCCCGCACGAACATCACGCTGCCTGATTTTAATATCAGGCATCGTAGTGGCAGTGTAGGTGGCAGTGTATTGCCATCATCGATTCGGGAGTTATCCCCAAAGAGCTTTGCCAATAAATCGACTTTCTCCTACGGCTTATGAACTAGTGTCCCATCTGGATATCGTAGAGGTAGCAGTCAGGGCTGGCAGAAGTTGTGCTGCACGGCCTTAGCCAAACGCCAAAAACTACGAGAGCCTATAGGATGTGTTAACAATTCGTGGCCAGTACGTGCCTGTGAACACTTTTGCAGATGTTTATAAATTTTATTTCTTGCCAAGTAAATAGTGTTGCATTACAGGTGCTTTGGTGTTATTCTATAAACTAGCTTTGTATTTCCGATGAAGATGATTATTTAATGGCTTTTATAGTTCACAAATGCCATTTATTTGGGTGAATTTGTAATAGCTGTATTGTAAGAAAAAAAGAGGAGCTCGATGGCACAAGTGGATAGCGCGTTCGGCTGCGATCGTTGAAGTTAAGCAACGTTCGCAGTGGTCGGTCATTGGATGGGTGACCAAAAATTCTAGTTTCCTCCATGCTTCGGAAGGCACGTTAAGCCGTTGGTCTCGGCTGCATCTGCAGTCGTTAGCACCCGCCAATCCGCACTGGGCCCGCGTGGTGGGTCATGGCCCAATCTCCCTATTCCATCCATAGGAAAAGCCTTTGCCCGAGCAGTGGGAACATTAATAGGCTGATGATGATGATGATGAAGAAAAATTACCCGAGTTTGTTCAATCCAGCGTAGAACGGCAGCTCTGGGCTCACCCAATCTGAAGTTAAGATCTCCGCACCAAAAAACGTAGTCGAAATTACTTGTCACATCTGAAAAATATTAAAATAAATATACATACAAACTTCAATTGAGCTTGAAGTATGTGCATACCTTTCAAGCGAAAAACTCAAAGGCATCGTGATGTAGAATTAAATCGAAAACCTTAATACACATATATTTAATAGGACATAACAAGATTGCTGTTATATAGAGCTAAGTCTAAACAAATGAACAGCGCAGTTCGAGTGTATTTAAGTAACCTGCGATTTTGCAGACTTTTCTAAAACATTTATTTCCAAGCAATTAGCGAGTAGGTAGTTCGCAACCAATTTATAATGTTCTCAGATTCAAGCAGGCGCAAACAGGGCGGCTGGCGTGTTTCTTGGAAATATAGTACGGACGTCTCCGAAAATTGTTGCGAGTTTTAAGAAGTTGCAAAAGTTAAAACAATTAATTATAGTTATATGCCGCGCGCTTTCCCAGGTATAAACCCACAATAAGTACAATTTAAAAAACATTGAAATTGCAATGAAATCGTTTCAACTTTTAAAATTTACCTTTACTGCTTCTGTGTCTGCATGGCAAATTCTTTGGTAAATCAATTGATCGTATTATTCTCTTTATATCAGAAACTCGTTCTTTCACTTTCTCCTGATGTGCCGTTAAGTGAGCGGTGACAAACAAGAATGTGGAACCAAAGAGTGCAAATGATATGGCTACTGCCCCTTTAGTCCGGAATGCTGTACCGGGTCGCACAGACAAACTGGCGTCTTCAGGTAAAGAACAATACCATATTAAGTCTCTTCTTACAAATATTGTTAGATGAATTGTTCCTAGAAACAGACATTCAAATTGAATGCGATCTTTTTATCATTACAAAACACAACTCAATAAAATATATATTTTTACAAAAAAAAAATCACAGTAGGGATGACCTGCTAACACTTTTCCTACAAAAAAATACTTTGTCAAACTTAGGCTCAGTGGGTAGTACGTTCAGTCAGTGATCATAGAATTTAAGCAACTTTCGGCCAGTTACAAGATCGGTGACCAAAAATTTAATATCTTGAGCTACTTCTGCCTTAGGGAAACTCATTAAGCAGTTCGTCCTGGCTTCATCTGCTGTAATCTGCACTGTGTCTATGTGGTGGGTCATGACTTCCCATTCCCCCTATTTAATCCATAGGGAATGCTTGTGCCTAGGCAATTGTCATGTTAGTAAACTAAATAATGAATGATATAGAATTTCCAATCCAAATAGACCAAACAGACAGCTAACAAAACTTTGTTGTTGGTAAAATCTCAGACCAAATAAAAAGTAAAATATTTAGTCTGTTTGGTAAAATGTAAGATACACCTAATCAGAGTGACATAAATAATTTCTTTACATAAAATAATAACAGTATATTCGTAAAATACACTTTTTATCATAAAATAATGACAGGTGTCAGAATATTATGTAGTTTCTCTTATTGTTGTATGTAGTATGAATATTATGTAGTATGTTCATCAATATATGAACTTTATTTTAAAGAGTTTTTGGTTGTTAATAACAGGGATATTTACCTAAATAGTAAGAGTGTAATAACAGATGTGAAGGTCCCAATACTTCTTGGATTGTGATTTCCCATTCTGATCGTTCAGAGAATGACTCCTGTGTGCCAATAGCAAAAATATCTGGCACATGCTTAACTTGGTTTGGAAATATAAAGTCTGCTAGTTCCCTATAAATATAAATATGTTTTTTTATTCGATTTATAAATGATGTGTTAAATTTTACTCAATCATCATGCTTATATAAATTTATCATCATTCGAAATCCTTAGTTTATTTTATATAACATTCAAGTTAAACTATTTGGATTTTATTGAATCCCATCTTACATTGACCAATAATTGCAGTTATAAGGAAAAATCAATTAACATAATTCAAAAAATATTTTTGATGGATAATTCAAATGTAAAATAACACAACTCCTACCTTGGTGGTGCTTGCCCATTCATATTCCATGTGCCTACAAATATTTTTACTTCTCTATCTGGAAAGACATGTTCAAGTTCTGCAGCTCCCAATAAAGAATGTGAAGCAAGCCTCCCATATAAATAATTTCTGAAAAGAAAAACATAATATTTGATATATCTATATTTTTAAATGGGCAACTCCAATGAACAATGTATTAGTCTAGTCAACAATTGCCTTTTTGGTCAACTTTTTTCAGCAGTCTCCGAAAATTATGATCGAGGTGTCATTCGATTTGGAATGGCATCTAGATGATTTTTGAAAAAAAAATGAAGTTCTGCAAACAAAAATTGCAAAAGTTATTAACAATTAACTAAAAAAAGGGGGGTTTCGTTTTTTGCAAATATCTCAAAAACTAATAAAGATATTTCAAATTAAAAAAAAAGATTCAAAAAGAGGAGGAAATTTCCTAAAAAAAGCCCCGACTCCCGAAACTGTAGGACCAATATTTATAATTTTCCCAGAGGGATGAAAATACGGCCGAAAACGGGTCCTCTGGCTTGCGTAAGCCACGCCTACTTTGGGAACTTTATTAATAAAAATTATTTTAACATGTTAAATATAAAATTTAAGAAATGTAAACATTCAGGGGCTTTCTGGATAGATGAATGAACAATAATCCGCGTGAATTTTTTTTTTATCACAATTTTTCAATTAGTTACGCAATTGTTAATTAATTTTTTTTTTCCACTTGAACATGAACATTGCAAGTGTGATTATTGTTAATCTATAAATTTGAGATTTTTTTCCTCTCTTGGAGCAATTCTTGAAAGGCTTTAGAATAGATCCCCGTTGGAAAATTAAAAAAAAAAACAGTTTTTTATTAACAATTATCGTTGTTGCAAAATTAAAAAGTTTAATTAATCATTGAAAAAAAAATCTTTTTAAATATTATTGATGATCCGTTCTTATTTTAATTTTTATCTGTTATTGTTTAAAAAATAATTGAATTTTTTTTATGGAATTTCAATCTTTCATACAAATAATGATTTTTAAAAGAAAAATTGTTCCTTAAAATTTTTTTTAATGCTTAAAAACGCATTTGTTAATTAACAATTATTTTTTCCGTCTTCTAATTAATATTAAGGAACATTTTTTTTTGGCTTACGCAAGCCAGAGGACCCGTTTGCGGCTGTATTTTCATACGTCTGGGAAAATTATAAATATTGGTCCTACAGTTTCGGGAGTCGGGGCTTTTTTTCCTCCTCTTTTTGAATCTTTTTTTTAATTTAAAATATCTTTATTAGTTTTTGAGATATTTGCAAAAACGAAACCCCCCTTTTTTTAGTTCATTGTTAATAACTTTTGCAATTTTTGTTTGCGGAACTTCATTTTTTTCAAAAATCATCTAGATGCCATTCCGAATCGAATGACACCTTGATCATAATTTTCGGAGACTGTTGAAAAAAGTTGACCAAAAGGGCACTTGTTGACTAGACTATATATGTCACCAGCAATCTGTATAGTGCAGGTATTCTATACAATACCTAGGCAATGTATGGAATGCCTGGGGAATCTAGGCAATGTATGGAATATTATAAATATTATTGTCCATTTAATACTTTGCCTAGGTAATGTATACAATTCCTAGGGATTTTATAGAGTACCTGCTGGCCCAACGGGAATGTTTTTATAATAAACAGATTTAGCCTGTATTTATCCTAACCAAACCTAACCTAGCCCACCCAGTTGCATATAAAAAATAGGATGGATCTTATAATTTACACTGAATGAACTTTATACCAACACACAGTGGGTTATATTAAGTTATTTAGTGCTCTGACCTAACCTTAGCCACCAGATAGATAATAAATAAATAAATACAAGGAAAACTTGATACAGTATCTTCTCTTACAAACATTGCCCACTGCCCATTCGGCATTTTATAGAATACATAGGCAAAGTATAAAATGAATAATATTTCATACATTGACTTGATGTTTTTGCATTCTATACATTGCCTAGGTATTGTATAGAATGCTGAATTATACAGATTGCCAGAAACAAGTAAATAACAAATCCTACTGAATTGACAGTGCTGTATTATTAAACAAATCCCATAGTGTAGATTTATTGTAAAGAAACTTAAGAATAAATTGTAAGTACCTTTCCCGAGCTTCTTGAGTTGGTATTAGACGTAGTACTTGAGCAGCGAGTAGTGAATTCCGTGCCAGACTATCAGTACTACCAGCACGAGAAACCGGCCTTGTGATAGTTGACTTTGTTCTTTTAAAAACAAAGGTTCAATTAGCATTAAGTACTTGAATTTAGAAAAATATTTTAAAAGTATGTTCTTACAATACATACCTTCTTTTACGGTCTAAGGAATTACTTCTATCGCTTTCAGGAGATGATGAATAATATAATGACTTGGACTCATTTGAGATAAGATGATCAGCTGAGAGTCGTTTTACAAACAATTTATTTTTGGTCTTTATCCCTTCAAATGATCCTGAGTGCTCAAAACACTTTTTAGGATCGTCCTTGGGAAACTTGATAGTTGCTTTAGGTATTTCTTCTGATTTAGACTGGCTGCAGGAGATAGTATTTTCACTGACACTGTTGCTAGAGTTGTTAATTGGACTACATGGTTTGGAGGTAGGTTCATCTCTGGACGGCGGTCCTTCGACGAGGCTCTTTGGACGGGACCTTCTAAAGAAAGTTCGACAGCATTTGGGATTGCTCTCGTCTTCATTGCGGACATGTACAATCTTTTGGTTTGGAATAATACTGTGAGGTTCAGTGGGTGAAACACGATGATTATCAAAATGTTCCAGACTTGCGTCAACATTCTGAGCACTTTGCGCTATAAATGGATCTGCTGGAGAAATAGGCCTGGACGTAGACTGGCTGAACTCGTCATTAGAATCTGTATCGACATAGCATCCGACTTTCGGTGACTTTTTGACGAACAGCCGTTTCCGCAAAGATAACTTTTGTTTGGTTTTAGTGGGCGAAGTTGTCATGATTGGTTTTGAACCACAAAAACAACTGATTTAAGTTACTAATTACATTTTTACTAAAATTAAGACATCGTAACCTAGGGCACCTTTTACGTCTTTTTGTGACGTTTTGCGGCTGATTGTCAATGTCATTCATTCAATTACTTTTTCAGGGATTTGGTTCACGAAAGTCGTATCATCCTGCCTAGCTTTTAACTTCACTATTTGCATCACTTTTAGTAAAATACAAATCAAGCATACAATATTACATTGAATTTGGTAAAAAAAAATGGTAAATAGTGATAGTTAAGGTTGCTTTGCACACGCGTTACCATGACAGCGCCCGTGTCACTTAGTGCCAGTTCACACTGAGACGCATCGTAATCCTGCCAGGCATTATTATTTGTCTCTAAAAGCCGGACACTGTCCTTTATTTATTCTTCGTTGTGTACGTACTCGGGTTCGATGGCTCATTGGCAAGTGCGTGCGATCTGCTATCGCGACCAAAAATTAAATATCTACAACTTCGTCATGCTTCGGAAACGTCAAGCCGTTGGCATCGGCTGCATCTGTAGTCGTTAACACTTACCAATGTACCCTGGACTCACATGGATGGGTCATGCTTGGCTAGCCCTGCGACCCAGCTGTGGGAACATATGGTTGATGTTGATGACGTGACGTGCCACTAGGTACCGATTTAAATCCCCCATTCCTAGAATAAGTAAAACCAATCAAAATATGGGTCAGTAAGCAGTAACCATGCCTTTATCATTATGGCTCTTGCCGTCACAGATGCGGCTCTTGGCGATCCACCATTCACAGCCTGCCGCCTCGGACCAGGCCTTCTTGGCCCTAGTGTAAATACGCCCTTGATGATGCAGGCGAGTAGCGCATTACATAGACCCAAAGAAACACTGAAAACCGAAAAACCCGGACAGATATATTTATATACTAGCGGCCGCACGCGACTTCGTACGCGTGGAGTTAGTTATAATAGAAATAAAGGTTCACTGCTTGTTCCCCGTAGGTGATAGTGTGATGATATGTAGCCTGTATGTTGACCCGCCCTTCTTAATAATATTCGTGCCAAATTTTAAGTAAATCCATGCAGTACCTACTTTTTGAGTTTATCCCGGACATACATAAAGACAAACAGACAAAAATTTAAAAACTATATTTTTGGCTTCGGTATCGATTGCAGATCACATCCCAAGTATTCTTTTAAAAAAATATTCAATATACAGTTTTGACTTTCCTACCATTTTATTATATGTATACATTAGCATATAGGTGTTTGGTTTTTTGGTTCTAGTATGTGCAATGATGTTTGATTAATTTACTTATTGCCATATATGTAGCAGGATTTTTTGAACTGTTTAGGCACCGAATACTTTTGTCATTATCATAATGCATCTGCTTTTTACCCGATAAAATATTACATTATTAAGTATCTAAATACCTGGACCTCACGAAGGAACAATATGACGCAATAAATTAATTAAATAAGTTTTATGAAGACAACACTATTACAGTATTCAAAAATTATTATATTTAACTGAATATACAACTAATTAATAAACAACATGAATAAATACTATTTCTAAAAGCAATGATAACATAACAGACAAATGGATAACGGTTCCGCTGCTTTCTGTTCCAGGAACCAATAAATTCTTCCCATAGACTCCTTGTTCGGGTGATAGGCCCATCCCCCCGACCGATTGTATACCGTTACCTATAAAAATACAAAATAATCATGACTTCTATACTGGAAGTATAGGGATTTTCTATAAATAGAGGATTCAAACCGGGTATATTTAAATTCTAATAAATTTTTTTGATTGTTTACAATGGGAAATAAATTTAATAATAATTAAAAAGGTGACTTAAAAAAATTACCGACTGATGATGAGATATTTGTGTAGAGTCTGACATGATTCTCTAAACCTAAACTTAATTTAGACAACAGTATATCCTGGTCATTCTCTATTCTACTTATACAGAATGAAAAGGAGAGACTGATGTAGGTACAATATATTACGACTAACTAACATTGATTTATAGCAAAATCCAGTAAAACAGCAACACAGTTTCAGTATTTTAGTCACTTAAATTATTTTATTTACAGCCACTGCTGCTTTAATAGGGGTGATGACGGGGTACAGTAAACGAAATTCTATTTAGTCCGTCAGTTACATGATCAAAAATTAATGGACACGTATTTTTTCTTTGGGCAATTAACCAAAAAATGACAAAGTTATAGCGCGTCAAAGTTTGGGAGTAGGGGCTCGTGACGTCACTTTTGAGTGAATTTTCACTTATAAGTGTACTCAAACGTGACGTCATGCGACTTTTCAAATCAATATATCTCTGCAATGTTTATATTATGTGAAAAAAGAAAAAATACGTGTCCAATACTTTTTGATAATCTACCGGATAAACGAAGAAAAAAAATTAGTCATCATCCCTATTATTACCCGTTTACAATTAAGTAGGTATATTAAATTTGCTTTTCTTAAAAGTTTACTCGTTGGCATTTTATGTGGAATACAACATCGTTTAAATGATCACCTCGGCTTGGTATGGTTGTTAGCCTGTATACATTGACATAGAAGTTTTATAAGTCAATGCCTGAATACGAGAGGTCAAATGTTCATCACTTTTTGACATAATGGCACCTTTATATCTTTGATGACGCTTCTTGAGCTACCCTACTGAAACCAAATGTATATACCCTTTAGATCCATTTCGTTCAATTGCGGACACAAAAGTTCCGAAAGATCCAGTAATGATCACCAATTCACAATTAAGTACGGTAGCCATCGTCCGATCGATAAATAAGGACTACTTAAACACGGCACTTAATAAACTCCTGGCACAAAATATGCAGCAGATATTTTCGACCTTTCATGAATCTCTCAATAATTTTAAATCTCAAACCATTACTTTAAAATTATTTCACTATTTTGACTAATAGTGTCCTCCATAAGACGGCTACGTTGACCACAATTGCCCGTAACGTATGAAACGTTTGATGAATTGAACTACCGCTTTCACCACAGAACACAGAAAGAGGTAAGAGGGTGATCATAAACCGTTTGTACGGGAACCGATGTCGCCGCCTCGCCCCCACTACCCTTCCCCCTAATAGATAATAGCCAATCAAACGACGCCACATCAAACAATCGAACCAATCAGCGCTCACACCCGCAATGACGCAATCAGAACCAAGGTTTATCAAGTTATTAGCATTTGCTTACACATAACTGTGGCGCGCATGCCCACAAGGCCCTTTTAACCTATTTCTGTGTTCTGTGGTTTTGACAATACTTTTTAATGATATTAACGCGTTGCTCAACTGAAAAGCGACTCGTTTATTAAATGGCGAACTTTTAGTGTGAGTTGTACATGATTCAAATCTTTGGGTTATAATACCACACAGCAGCAATCAAAAAGTTGCGTCACTAGACGTCCATGTCTATCATCGGCTGTCAACGATACCGTGACGATACCCATTATTATTAAAAAACCCTGTACTTATTTAAAATTCCGTTAATTTTACCCCGAGCTATGACCAAGCTAACAATGTCAAGGTACGCCTATGAACATTGAATAGATACTATATAAGTAAATAACCCTATCTTTTAGAAGGTTGAAATACTTACGTTGGAAATAATTGAAAAACTTCGGTGTAATGTAACTTCGTGGTCTTAAGTTCAGAGTACCTAGTAGTAGATCTACAAAAGATCTTCTACTAGGTACAGGACCGGATCAAAACCAGAACTCCGCCGTCGTAAATATATAAGAATGAAAATTCAATAGACATTCACATCGTCACTAAATTGCCCTGTCTAATATTTTATGTTGATCTTAAGTTAGGATAACAAGGTATATTTATGCAATCTTTATGCAGGACCAGTGTTATCATCACGATCACAGAACAGAGGGTATCTGCAGTAATATTCTGTATTTTTTTTCGATCCGATCCGATGTGGATCCGCGCGTGAAAATTTTACAGAATAGCACTGCTGCGCGAAAAAGCTCAGTGCTCACGACTCAATACATTTCCACAGATTAAGGGTTTTTGTTTTCATAATTTTTTTATTCGATTATTTACAATATGTCTTTTTAATTATGTTATTTTTAATCAAATTTCAACATGTTTAATAATATACTGTCCGTGCTCGAGGCTACTATTTGATACAGCCAGGGGCACGGGCAGAAGTCTGAAAGAGGAAGCATAGAAGAATAGTAAAGATAAAAGTAAATGTATACCTATACAAGAAAATAGGGAGGTGAAAAAAAAACAAAGTAAAGAAAAGTTGATTCACATTAGTGGCGTTAAATACTACTCGTTTGCTTCGAGTTGGCCGTCGATAGCCAATCACAGGCACATCAACTGGTACCATCGTCCAATAAGGTCGACTAATAGGGACTGTCTAAGGCGCGGTATTCTGAAGCTGGGAGGATGAAAGCAGCCAATTCGAAGCGAACGCGTAGTGCTTTGGTTATTAAAAGTATGCGTTATTAATAGAATACAGGGTTCACTCAACACATTCACGCAATCTCATGCACACAGAGAGAGAGAGATACACACACACACGCAATCATACTCAAATGAGTCCTAAGGTAATTATTATATACACTTTTAAACTATTATATAGTATAACGTAATTATAACATTCACAAAAAAAATTAGACCGTGCGCTGCGTTAAGCGGGACACAGAGCGGGCACCCGCTCGGCGCGCTTACTTCATGCCATTTCATAGAGCAGCGCCACGTGAGATGGGTCTCCGAGAAATGACAAAAAAAAAAACTGCACGGTGAGCGGACTCGCGCCCGACTTCCCGTCCAAGGCAGCGCAGGCTTTAACAGTGCAATATTGTAATGTACATTATATTGTGATGCTAAATGCATAATTAAACTTATAAGAATCTATCTTAGTGGGTAAAAGTCAAGACACACCGAAGGACGGTGGGGGGAAAAAAAATAAAAATAGGCCCTGATTTAAGTACATATCTGTGTTGGATCGCATCTCCGGCGGCCGCGGAAAGGACGCCTTTGAACAGGCCTCGTTAGAAGCCTTAGCAAAAATTCTAAAGTTGCTTCACTAACTCTGATTATATCTGATATATGGATATGTATTCAAGATTTGGATAAACCGAGAAGAAATCTATAAGCCTCAACAGGTATATCGTGCCGTAAACGAAGATTTCTGGTTTAAGCTCAAAAAAGAAAACTTACAATATACCAACTCAGTGGGAGGAAGAGGGTAAAGAAGAGTTATTGAAAGATTTCAGTTTTGAGAAGATAGTTTCAACGAGTGCGACAAAAGATTTGAGCAGTTTTGGTTTAGATATAAGATCAGGAATATGAAACGGGTTAATGTTGCTGTTTGAGCATATGGCAGTATGTCTAAGTCTATTAATAGTAAATCTTGGACAATCAGTCAAAAGATGAAGAGGATCTTGAGGCGTCTGTGTGTCACATGGACATGCGCTAGATGCAGCAGACTAAGAAAGAATGAAGAGGAAGAGATGATTGAGAAAAAATTGTGAATCATTGTTATGGAGGAGAATAATCTCGAGTGTGGGAGCCTTGAGCAGCCTCTTGGTATCGTTCCCAATCTTTGCGAATGCGAATCCTAGAAAGGCGCTTATCATATGATAATGGGAATCGGTCGTAATCAGGAGCCCTTCTCAAACCTGCAGCGCGACCGGCCTCAGCATCCGCAGCCTCGTTACCTGCAATCCCTACATGCCCCCTAACCCAACAAAAACGAATATTTCCAAAAGAGTGGTGTTCGTGAATAAGTTTGTGGGTAAGTGACACGAGAGGAGTGGCGTTGTTGCGCTGACTGAGTGCGTCCAGAGACGATAATGAGTCAGTGAGAATAAAGGTATCCTCGTATTTCCTCTCCACAGCGAGGCAGCAGGCTTTGTGGATGGCATAAAGTTCAGCCTGGAACACAGTGCAAGCTTTGTGTAATTTAAATCTTTTACAAGTAACGGGAGAGGGTGAATCCGGGTTTATGCAAATATAAGCAGCCCCAACGGATTCATTCTCCAGTTTACTACCGTCGGTGAAAATTTGCATGGTATTCGGAAGGCAAGTTTCGTCCACTTTTTGTTGTCCTTCAGCAATAGAGTATTGAACAGTGACGCGATGTGCAGGGTGTAGAAGATTGGAAATGGGTGTAGGGGATTCCCACATGACGTCATCCGGCAGGAACTGAGTAGTTTGAGTTAATCTACTTCTTTCAATTTCGCGCACATGTAGCACCTCCAAATCAAGGGGTGTGAATTGTGCCAGGGCTAAGGCAGCATTAGCTGAAACCGTGCGATAGGCCCTAATGGCTCGGATAGCAAATACACGCTGTAGCAATTGTAATTTACATCGAACAGTAACTAATTGTGCAACATGACCCCAAATACCTGCAGCGTAAGTAACTGTAGGCACAATTACGTGTCTGTAAATTGTTTCGATATTTTTAGGATGAAGGCCCCAGGAAGACCGAACGAACAAACACATTAGCGTAAACAGACTTTGTGCTTTATCAATGACATGGTCCACATGTTTGTGAAAACGAAGGCGATGATCTATGACAACTCCCAGTAAAGTTAATTTAGTGCTATAAGGAATGATGGTGTTTAACATTGATAAAGTTGCCCTAGCCGCCTTGGAAGTAAAAGCCAAGGCTTTTGTTTTATCTAGTCCAAAGGTTACTTTGACACCTAGGCCCCAATTTGCAACCATGTCTAGAGCTTGTCGAGCATTTCTTTCAAGGGTGATGGCATCCTTGGCAGAAACTATTAAAAAAACGTCATCTGCATAAGCTTGAATACGGCAGCCGGCGGGAAAGGACAGGCTGAGAAGACCATCAAGGATAATATTCCACAACGCTGGCCCACAAGCAGATTCCTGGACGCAGCCTCGTTGGGTGGTAGTGGTAGCAGTGACACCCGCGTGAGATAAAGCCACCGTACGTTCACGGAGATAGTCAGCAACGAGGCGGAAAATGTTGGCGGGACATCCAATCTCCTTTAATCGGGATAAAATGGCGGGCCACCAAGCCTGATCAAATGCCGATTTGATGTCTAATGAAATGGCTACGGTGGGTCGTTTTTCGCCTAAATTGTCTTTAATATAGGATATAGCGTCGTTCAGTGCATGAGACGTCGAAGAATGTCGTCTGAATCCATATTGGAGTGTGTTAAGAGTTCCGCTGGTGGCTGAATGGTGCAAAATTCGCTCCGTAAATAATTTTTCAAGAGCTTTTCCAAAAACTGGTATGAGCCCAATGGGTCGATGGGATTTCAAAGATGAACGGTCCACGTTTCCTGATTTAAGTATGGCAAGTTTCCAAAATTTCGGGAAGTATCCTAGAGATAGACATCGATTAAATAGGCCTGGGGGCCAATCGCCTAACGGAAATGCTTTGGAAAACGCTAACGCTTACGATTTTATTTTGTTATTTCTAGCCGCCTGAGGTATTTAAATGCCTCGCGCTCTTTCTTTTTCTTTTACATTGGTAATAACAATGTTAAAAAAAATGAGCGTGAGGTATTCGAAAACCTCAGGCGGCTAGAAATAACAATATAAAATCGTAAGCGTTAGCGTTTCCCAAAGCATTTCCGTTAGGCGATTGGCCCTCTGTTATGAGGTTGGGAAAGTTTGCAGTGACTGTACGACAAATATCTGATGTTAAGCCATCGTGTCCCGGTGCCTTTTTTGGGGAGAGAGATTTTAGTACCTCTAGCACCTCCTCTACGGTAAAGTATGGATCATCGGGAGTCGTGGGAGGGGATCTACATAATGTTCTTTTAGCTGCTTGAGCGGGTGAATCCATATGAGGAGGGTCAGCTGGGTAAATATGTTCTAAGAGGGCCTCAGCTGTCTCTTGACTACCAGCCGTATACCGCCCATGAGCAAGAACTGAGGACGGTGGCCTCCTAGTAGTTCCGGTTCGGAGGATGGGGTTAGTTACTGTTCACACTTGCTCCAACGTCTGCGACTCGCAAAATTTTTTAAGACCATTCGCAGATTCCTGGCGAATGGCTTCAACATACTGTTTTCCATTATCCTGTAAACGTTCTACTAGAGGGCTTAACTGTTCTATCGAAAACCCACGAGCCTTTTTAAACAGAAATTATTTCTGTGGTTTCTACCACATGTGGTTTCTACGACTTACCAATATTGCATAGGTCCGTGGTACAAGCTCTGTAGAATGTACGGTATGTGGAGTCTGTAATTTCGTGATTGAAATAGTCAGGTAGTTGATCGCATCCTCGCCGGAAGCTGGCTACCACCCCACTTGGATCCTATAAATCATAGTAGGTAGATAAGAATTTTATGAAATAAGTCTTCGGCCGCGTCTATCTCTTTGTACCTATGTTCGCGATAATCTCAAAAATTGGTTAGAAAGTTTTTTACTGAAATTTATAATATGTGTAGCTACAACCTACAAGCTCAAAAGCAAAAACTATGTGGTCTACACCGAAGCGAAGTGAGCGAGCCAACAGTAGGTACCTATAGTGTTCTGTGGGTAAGCATTCATATTTATGTATCGTTCATCACGAATTTGGAAACGAATACTTTTATCAAGGCTGTTCACAACATGAAAAATAGAAAGTAGCATTTCTTACCAAGAATTCTATCCTCCTTATAGTGCAAAAACGGTAACTGCATTCCACGGTACTCGTGTTAGCTCTTGCCATTAAACAAGATCGATCCGATTCCAACGACGTGTATGAGCAGGAATAGCATCGCAAACCTTGAAATGAACAAATAGTATAAACTATAGTTATAAGAACTAGCTCGTAGTACCTAGAGTATAAATCGTGCTTCTTTTCATAAGAAATTAGGGAGCTGCATCTAAGTTATAGTCCATATAAACTAGGTAACTACCAACTTGTGCAATTGATCATGGAGCCAGCTATTGAAAAATATTTCAATTACCATACGATTACAGAGAATGTATTAGACCAGCTAGGTACCGCTGTAGTTGCCACGGTTCAGTTGCATATTAGTAGGCAAACATTTTTTTATGTCACAAGCAAAGGACGATATAATATCGTTTAATACTACACTATGTAGTAAATGCAGCAGTCTTTGCTTGTGACTAAACTTGTTTTTTACTGTGTAGGTATTATAAAAAGATACGCTATATATTCATAAGAGTTGTTTTAAATATCCAATTTTTAAATAGAAACAAACTATAAATTGTTATAATTAATATAGTTACTTACCAAATGTATTGTAGATAATACAACAAAACACTACTAGTGCTAACTGAATTTGAAAATGCATTTCGGTGAAATTCGCACTGTAAAGTGGATAATAATCCCCGTATCTAATGTTGTAATAAACGTTATTTGATAGTAATCAGCTTGTCGATGAGCAATTAATAGCCTTATCTTATCCTATAAATGAGTATGGATGGATAATACAAGAAAGATAGGGCAGGGCATAAAGTGTTACTCGCTCGAATTGAAGCGCTTGCCTTGAAAAGGATCCTTAATCCATTTTACCATACTTCGCAGAGGTTCCACTATGAAGTGTGGTAAAGTAGATGATCATAACACATTTCTAGATGAACATTACTTTTTTTTCCATACACGCCACAGTAAAATTCTTCCATCCCACTTGTTGTTGTTGTGAATGCGATGTGGTGAAAATGTTAGCTTTCGACTTTATTTATTCTTGTTATGAGCTCAGTTCAAATAATTTGAGCTGAGGTTCTGAGTTCCTAACTGATTTACCACCCTTATTGCTTCTTGATTTCTTATGCCAGCGGCTGGCAACGTATTTTCTTAAACAAAATCATGGACCAATGATAAAGTAGGTTACAAGTAGGTTATACAGTGTTACATAGAATGCTACTGCTTTTGTCTCGTTTTTAAAGATTGCGTATTCTAGATTCGGGCATAATGTAGTAGGTACGGATGTTTATGTGATCTGATATCTTGTTCGTGTTTCTTGCGAAGTGAATTGCTAATAGTGAAAAAAGCGATATTAATACATCAACGGCCTTACTACAAAACGTAGACTAAAGTAAAATCTGGACATAAACTGATGCTGTCACTTTTGATTGCCGTAAATAAGACAAGGACAACATTGGGTTTAAACCAAGACTAACTTTAGTCCGCGTTCTGTAGTAAGGGGGAATGAACAGTAAAGCAGGCGGTCATTCCCCAGTTAGGCCTTAGTAAGAGTACTCCGTGGACATAAAGCGTATTTTTTCAGTTCTTTGTACCAGCAAGCAGCACACAGGTCTGAAGATTTATTTCTTAGATTTAGATAAATATTAATTTATTGGTCTGGGCTATTCACTTCTAAGTTTTAAAAGTGGACAAGTTTTATAAGTAATCAAAAGATAATTATAGGTAAAACGCTTAACTGAGACCTCGCTTGCGGGGTACATTTGTGTTGGGGAGGACGAGAACGGCGGCCGTGAGAGATGCGGGCGGCGGGCACCTGTAATTTTTAAAAGAATGTGCCTTCCGCCCGCACCTTTCACGCTCCCCGTTTTTGTCCTCCCCCACACATTTTACCCCGCAGGCGAGGACTCAGTTAAGCGGTCTACCTATATTGGTGTAGGAAACCAGTAGCGTGCCACGCAGCAGGGGCGTAGCTACCGACGTATCTGCAGTATCAATGATACGGGGCCCCCGACCCACGGGAGCCCCCAACGTGCGTAAGCAAAAATTAATAAAAACTTCCCAATTTTTTTTAAAACTTCCCAAACTTTTTTCGTTTTTTATTGTATCTAACTGTCAAAACTTCATAGTAATTTGACAATTGAGCGTGATAAAAACGCTTTATATATCATATCGCGGTGCTCATGCTAAGGGGGCTGGAATCCTATTTCAAAGTCAATATATATATATTATTGCTTTTTACATATGAGGAGCTGGCGAACAAAACGGTATCTTATATATAAAATTCTCGTGTCACAGTATTAGTTATCATACTCCTCCGAAACGGCCTGACCGATTTTTATGAAATTATATATGCATATTCCGTGGGTCTAAGAATCGGCTACTATCTATTTTTCATATCCTTATCTGATAATGGTTGTCCACCTGTAACGTAGTGTTCTGAAACCTACAATGCGCCTTCGCGCCAAATTTAAAGTATTGGGTATTGTAACGTAGTGTTCTCATATGGGTTAGGAGGAATGTTATCGCAGGAAATTGATAGAACACTACGTTATTAATATTACTCCTGGAAAACTGTCGGTTAAATACAGTAAAGACATCTCAGTTAATCCTTATGACCAATTAAAGGCTCCAAAAACATCCTTAAAATCTGAAATTCAAAAAATTCGTTCCATTAGATCTTATTGAATTATTGCTGATAAAATTCAATAGTCTTGCATTCAGTTTTCCGGAAGTAATAACAGTATGCTTTTTATTTCTAGTTACAACCGCAACTGATGACAGAAGTTTTTCAAAATTAAAACTGCTAAAAAATTTCTTACCTCAGAACTTCGATGAACGCCCGTCAGACTAATTAATCACTATTGTCCAAAGAGGCCGAAACTTTACAAAAACTAAAGTCAACATCAGCTATAAATGATTCTATAAATCAGTTTGTCGAAAAATAGGCAAAGAAAACGTATACTTAATTTCAATAGTTTGTAAAAAAAATTGAAAAAGTGATAGATAGATAGATAATTATGACGAATCAATATTTCTTTTAATTTTAAGCATTTTTTTTTTCTTTTGTGAGAAATCTTTATCCTTCCTAAGGGCCCCCAAACATTTTTTTATACGGGGCCCCACCAAGGCACGCTACGCCACTGGTGCCACGTAACAAATGGAAAAGTTACTACTAGTGTTAAACATAATTTCACTACCATCTTAGCTGCGAGATCCGCACTGGTTGCCGTAATCGAGTCACACACATGATTGGTGAATTTAATACAGGACGATATTATTCGTGGATCAATAAATTAGTTAGGTATTATCTTGTTTAATATGAAAAAACCAGCGGCACAACTCTTCAAAGGCTTGAATTCCGTGAAAAGATGCATCGGGAACAAATAATATTTATGTTTATATAAAAGCATCATAATTTATCACATATTAGATAGCGTGCGTTAATATAACGGGTAATTTCTAATCGGAATAAAAATAATTACTTTTGGCACTTTTCGGCTCCACCGTTAGACCTTGGATGTCACCGAGGACCAAAGTCTTTCTCAAGACGAATCATACATACCTACCGGATAAGTTCGATGGGATAACGTCATTTTATTATAGAGTTCTCTCGGCCACCTTCCGACTCCATCGTCGACTCTGTCGAACATTAGAAAGTATCTATATTGGATTAGTTAATGTATAACCAAGGAGACCTTAGTAGTTATTAATTTGTTTTTTCTTTAATAGATGGCGTGGCATGTAGTGTCGCAATGAGAAATTTTAAAAACCAGTGCTAAAAGGAATCCGCAATGCATCTAGTGGTACGCTCTTCGCTCAAGCCACCAGCTTGGGTTGGATATTTTCAGGTATTGTAAACATGCCAGCTGAACAAGCTGGAGGAATATTAGCATTACATTGTGAACTACGACAAAGTGATGAATTGTTAAAAAAGTTTTGGGAAATTGAAAAAGGAGTAGCATTGTCGAAAGAGAAGAAATACACGGAAGAAATGAAATGTGAGAAGTTTTTCATAAATACCACTACACTAGATGAACAGGGTAGATATGTAGTAAGATTTCCGTTCAAACTGGACAAACCAGTTGAATAAAGCAGAAACTCGTGTAATAGCTGAAAAAATATCGAAAGGCTTAGATAGAAGATTTGGAAATGACAGTGACTTCAGACGGGAAAAAACCGGCCAAGTGCGAGTCTGACTCGCGCACCGAAAGTTGCATACAAACCTGTAGGTATTTAAGTAAAAGTTCGCCCATTTGATATGAAAGTTTGATTTTGTTACAGCTTAAAGGTATTATAGATCTGAGTATATGATATGAATTTCAGTTTAATACCTCTACGCGTTCATGAGAAAAGAGGACCGAGTTGAAAAAAAAACACGTTTAAAAACCTACATTATCCCTGATGAACATAGGCTATGGTGTATTTTCAAAAAAGTTAGGGTTCCGTATGAAAACTTCTATAATGTAACCCAGACTGTGAAAAAAATAACTATATATCGCTTACGCTGCGGAAGTCATTAGCAGTAGAGCAAAGTGATGTACTAAAGTTTTATAGAGGACATCAATATCTACAAAAAAGTCCGCGATACCATAATTATGTCGAATATCGGAGTGTAACATTCCAAAGGGACATTTACGAATAGTTACATTTAGTTTCACTTCAAAAGAAAAAGTTTGCACCAAGGATTTAGGATATCGTTAATGAAATTTGGTCCATGATTTACTTATGTCCCGGTAACTTTCCCAGTTGTCTATATGCAACAAAATAAAGTTGTTTGCTTCGTCGCAAATTGCTTATAGAACTTACAACAAATTAATAAATAAGCATAATCAATTTATTATTATTTATTTGGTAAGTAACGTAGATTTTCTTTAATTTATTAATTTCACGTAATAATTATTTGCTACAGACTTGGCTCTATGGTAAAAACGCCCCAGCAAAATAGTGCGCGTGAAAACTATAAAATGAACTAATACTATACATGCTTTCCCTCGTCAACGCTGAAAATCAATTTTGCGATGAGCCAATATCTCTATTGCGAGAAGCAGAAACGCCAGCATGATTCCATAGAGGTACATAACCAGCACCGGGTGAAAGTCCACCATGTTGACGGAGCCGAAGCTGCCACCACGCGCGTGGCAAGCCGGCTTGCGCGCATATATGAGGCGATCCTCGCGGTCGCTCAAACCGTGCTCCTTTATTCTGAACAATCTAAAACCAATAGGTGGACATGAGGCTAGGAAAAATACAACTATTTTACTCTTTCGAATAAAAAGTATAAACCTTACATCGGCAGTGCTAACACATAAGTAAAGAAAATTACAGTCTGTAGTGCTATTTTGTAAAAACAAACTATTTTCAACCGGGAAATCCGCGGTGTGATTTAAAAGTAGAACATGAATTTTAAATTAATAATTTCAAATCACACTGGTGAATTCCGCGCTAAAAAGTGAGTTTTTACTTACAGAACAGCACAGCAGTTAGCGTTGTTATGACTCTTTTAATTCTTTTCTTTGGGTGATAAAGTAAAACACTTCATCTTTTCTACCCCTACCAACCAACTATTGATAGAGATAAGTACTTTCTTAAGTAGATTTACTGTTTTGTAATTACAATTAGTTGTATGAATGTTTAAGAACTAGAGGACTTGGGAAACATCACCATAAAGGAGAAAATTTTCGTAATAACCAATACTAAAGGGCAGAAAATGTTTTCTTTGCTGATTCTGCATCTACCAGTTCATCTGCGCAATAGGGATAAATTAAACCCAACTGGTAAATAGGTTTATGAAAAAAAACTAACAATACAGTAAGATACATAGTACTACAGAGTAAACTGTGATTGACTTTTCCAAGGAATATCGAAACAGAATTATTAAATTGAAATATTTATTATTTACCCGATTTTGAACATTTCTTTGTAAGGAGAGTGTTTTCGACAAGTAATGTACGTTTTGGTGTCGTCCAAGTAAGCGATCTCCTGAAGTCCACATTTTTCATGTTCGTGAAAGTAACGTTCCACCAATCTGTAGCCAATGCCTTTATTCATGTTAAATGCAAATGGCTCCTGAAAATAGTGTCAGTGTTACCTAAATAAATTCCAATTCTTATTTTATGTAGGTGTCGTAAGATGATTTGATAAATCAAATTTAACTAAGGGATTTTGCGAAAACGCGGATATTTATACCATAGCGCTGACATTTCTCAATGGTACTGTAAAAAGATAGGATTATTGCGAAGAGAATCGTTCGCTTATTATAAATATTCTTGAGTTTTCGGGTTCAATAACGTTACTTTTCACACTAGTTTATTTTCCACATAGTCACCATATGGTGAAAAGAAAGGAAAAAATTTGGAAAATCCAAAAGTGTACGCCTCACACGCATATTGTATTACAAATTGAAATATCTTTAAAGCGGTTATCAGTTTAATCATGATAATAAATAGGGTTCATCCTCAGTATAAGTGGAAATTAATTCAACAGAATGTATTACAATTAATAGCGTTTATTTTTCTAAAACGTGCAGACAAACAAGTACATAGACCAACGGGGAGCAGTACTAATATTTTTTAACTACATTTTAATGTTATATATACTTAAAAAAATAAATGAAAAAATACGCTGACTTTATAATTTAATATGTCTAGTTTTCAAAACCTTCTTTTAGTATCTAACCTAGGAGATAAGAGCGACTTTATATTGTAAAATCGTCAGATAGCGGTTTATCGAGAGTAAAGCACTCCCACACGCTTTCGCGTTGTGAGGTGTGCAAAAATCGTAAATAGTAAGATTAAGCAATGCCAGTGCCATTCTTTATCATATCATCCTACGACATGGGTATAGGTATCGCAAAACTAACTTTCTGTAATTTCTTAACGCCTTGTTCAATGCTCATGAATCTTGCTTTTCTTCCCTCTGGTGCTATTTTGGTTTGGTAAATTGCTTTGCGGATAGGCTCGGAAGCAATCTAAAAAAACAAATGTAAAAAATACATAAAATAAATTATAAAACTTTATAAGTTCTTCTTGAAAAGGTTTAGAGGTTTTTGTATTTTGATTTATTTATAACATTAAAAATTGCTTTTTGATAAATTTAGTTAAATATATATCTATGTGGAAATGTTAAATACACTAATATTTATTATAATGATTGAGCATTTTCATCCACTGAGTATTTGTAATTCATTTTACACATTCCTTCATTTTCTTGCTGATGCTGTTATGTAAGTAGTTGTCATTTATATAAGATAATATCCTATAGTGTTAGGTTTCTAGTTACTTTATCACATTATCTTTTCAGTGAGTTGGTGATTAAGTAAACAATTTAGGTTCTCACCCCGAAAAAGTATCTATTATATGGCGTGTCCTCTACTCCCAGTTCAAGCCTAGAATTGAGTAAATCAGACAAGGTGCGTATTTGGTTGGAGCTCGACTGCAGCAAAGCTACTATGCTGGCTGAATATGCAGAGTACAAAAGAAGAAAAGCCAGAAACAGGATGAACATCACTATGCGGCCAAGAGTTCCTGCAAACAAGACGATTGTAACTTCATATAAACCTTTAGCTTAAAATTTTATTTCGACTGCACTTACAGACGTCAATGAACATTTAAATTTCATTAAAGTTGGTGCTGTGATTTGCTTTTCGATAATAACAGGCGAAGACAACACGAGATCATAAATGGCTCGCACTGTCAAAATGTTATCAGATCTCATGTAGAACCGAGCTTCTAACTAGACCTAACTTCACAAACTCTACGACTTAGTCAAAATATGTGGCTTGGTCGCTTCGTTAACTAAATATATAAACTTAACGTCGCCCAGATACTAAATATATGGACAGTGAAAAGGCAAAATCGCTTATACGCCACTTTGATCGAAATTAGTATATTATTTGAATTTGTTTTTTTTTTCTGCGCCAATTTTTCGTGCGATTTTTTGTTATTTCAAATAACAGTTCGATTGTTTATTGTAGTCGCTCGCAACCTTAGCTCGCAACTCCCTACCGAAGATTACCTAATACAGGCTAGATTCGTAAATCTTCGTCCGCCACCGTCGCGCGCGGTTTTTGGAAATTGCAATGTGCATTTTGCCAGTGTCTGCTGCTCGGTTTATGAGCATTAGGGCCCCGTTTACACTTTGATTATTAATTAGGCGAGTTCATACATGTTCTACTAGATTTCCAGTGAGGGGGAGGGGGGGGGGGCTACACCCATGGAGATTGATAAGGATAGACTGGTGTGTCGATTCTGGCATGATTCTCTAAACTTAAAACTTAATTTAACTTCAGTCTCTCTTTTTCGATTTCCACTATTGTCGAATTTAAGTTTAGGTTTAAATAATCATGTCAGAATCGACACCATTATTTCAGTTTGCGTGCTCTAACTTAGACCACATTTTTGCTTAACATCACGTAGGATATTGAGGTCAAACGCACTCAAATCTAAAATATATAAAAAGTTTAAGGTCGAAAAGATAGTTCCGGCACGGAGAAAGTGTATCTTATATTTCTCTTCGGACGCAGTTCGTTAACACATCAAGTGAACTGAGAAAATCACCAGTTAATCTATAAAAAAACACTCACCCTTCAATTCGGTGTAACTTCCCTGCTGTGATACTGCACTTAACACTAATATCACAATTTCACTGATATTAGGTTTTAGGGCAGTGGGATCCATCTCATTCTAAAATGAAGTAAGTTACAAAAAATATTTATTTGCAGATTCCATATCCTTTATTTCACCAAAAAATCCAATTTAGTGGAAGATTTGAAATGACTGATTTGCTGGCCCATATGGATTACGGGGAAGAGGAAACAAGAATATTTAAATTTGTTTAATTTAGCCGCCGAAGCTACGCTGAGACTGCAGAACACAGAATGAGGTTCGAAGGGTGACCATAGGTCTATGGTACAAGCGGTCGCTTGTACGGGAACCGATGATGCCGGCTCGCCCCAACTACCCTTCACCTAATCGATAATAGCCAATCAAACGACGCGACATCAAACAGTCCAACTAATCAGCGCTCACACCCGTGAGCAACGACACAATCAGAACCAAGTTCTGGTCAAGTTATGAGCATTTGCTCTCACATAAATGTGGCGCGTCTGCGCCCACAAGGCCCTTCTAACCTCTTCTGTGGCTGACACTTATAACGAAAGTTCTTAAATTCAAAAAGCTAATTATGCATGTTTAAGCCTCTTTCTCTATTAAAGTTTAAATGAATGACAAAAATATAGTTCTATACGTACCATTTTATTTTTCTCTAGTTTCTTATGTTCCCAGAGGGCATTGATGTATAGAATCAACGTCAAAACTAGCACGAACGCTCCCATGCAGTACCAAACTGAAGTCTTAAAGGGTAGAAGGAACAAATTGTTTTGGTAGGACAGCGGCGGCTCTCGGAACACAAACTTTACTGATATTGGTATCGGGCACGACAAGAAATCCACTACTTCCATTCGGTCTTGAGTAGCGATGAGAACAGTACCTGTCATGATGGAAACATAAAATGTACCTATCTACGAAATTACAACGAAGATCTGGATAGAACATGTAGACATGCTATGTGGAGGTTAAGAATCTTAGGCTCGTATTACAGAATGACAACCAAGTGTAGTGTAACTCAAGTAAAGATCACCACTTAGTTAGTTATAGAAACGTATGAGAACTCTGACGCGCGCGACAACACACATCGTGGGATCGCACCTACTACGGAGCTCCGTGGTTCGTCAAATGTACCTTTTGGACAGGTTTCGGCCACGATTTTGATCGTGGTGTTACATCTAGGGTATTTAATTATTCAGCCACTTAATCAAGCCCATTTGAATATAAACAAGTTACTGATTACCAAATTTGCTAAAGGACACTAGGTTAGTTAAAGGAGTGTGCGTTTAAGTCTTAAGTTCTGCGTGTTGCTCGTCCATAGAAATGGAAAATTTAACCGAAATGAGTAAGCAGAGAGAGAAAGACGAGCCTAAAAATTGATCCACTGGCTGAGATGCAAAGAAACAAGCAAAAGGTTGATAATGATTATTGATCGCCATATATAGGAAAGAGAAATTTATATTTTGCCTACAGCAAAAAAGGGAATAAATCAGACTTTAAATGAAGATCAACAGTAGGTAAAGCACATTAGTGATATAATCATTAAGGACTCATAGTAAACTCGATACTCGTAAGCTTTAGTTAGATATTACATAGTTTTAGTAAAAATTTCAAACCTGCAAGTTCAGCGTCCCCAACTGTTAACTCCGCCACCATACCTCCATAGGTACCGTTTTTGTAATATCCCCAGGTTTCGCTGAATATAAAACTCTTAGTCGCATTCAAATATCCATATATTGGATCAGTGGACCGAAAGCTACTCTTTGTTACAGTGTCGGCAAGAATGTCACTGTAATAAAAAAAAGTATTGGTCTTATATTGGCGGAATAGATACTTAGATTATAATGTCGGACAACAGCAAATAGTCAATTGGATCAACGTAGAGTTACTATCCCAGTTTAAGGTGGCTGTTATGAAAATTTTGTGAATAATAATAGTGCTACAAACAACGAATGCATACATATAAAACCGACCAAGTGCGTGTCGAGACACGTGCACTATAGGGCCTACTCTATAAAGAATATAGACTCCAAAAAATAAAGACTCCTGCTCTACTGTAACTACTTCCGTAGTTACAAAATCAGAAATTAGAAAAACCAATTAATATAAATCTATGTATCTCAATCTTAACTAAAATACCTAAATCAAAGTCAAACTGCGTCGAAATCCTCATGGATACCTACAGCCGGCTACAAGGTTATGTCAGACTCTTATACTGCCTAAAAGCTTCATCTGAAGCGATCATCCCCTGAGAAGAGGATGATGCGTATAACCACCGATCTTTTCAAGTGCTATGTACTTATAATGTATATACAAAGCAAGCAAAGTTGCAATTCACGATTCTACGCTACAATCACTTCATGTATTATTGTTTTCTTCTAAGGAATTTTCAATAGGTAAGAATTTTTCTTTAACCAAAGTTGAACGACTATTAGTCTTAAACTAACATATCTATCTTAACCGTTATAATTTTCCTTAAATTTTATGAAAAGCACATTATTATTAATTTTTCCAGGGTTTTCAAGCTAATAGTTTAGCTTTTAGAGGGGGGGCAGACGCCTTACTCGAATAATTTTAAAGGACCTATTCTACGATATCCCACACGATGAGCTACCCTAAAAAAGAAATATTTTTCCAAATATTTTTCTACCATTTTGTCGGCGTGATCCACGGACCTGAAAAAAAGGCCTTTTTTTAGGTCCGTGGCGTGATCGATATACATATCTCCACAAAATTACAGCTCTCTAGTACTAATAGTCTCCAAGCAAAACCGGGGACAGATAGCCTCAACGTAATACGGAAGTCGCCGACGTCGGAAGTAATAAATAAATATCTTAACACAAATATAAAAAAAGAGTTTGATATTGACAATGGCGGAATATAGGTACTTAAGAGAAAACCAAAACAACAGATCAATTGTAATCGTACACGTACTTTTATGTTATTCTTACTCACCAGCAGGAATTCAATTCCACTAAAAGTTTTCTTTTATAGTATTCGTAATTTATATTGATTGTTGATAATCGAAGAAATACAGTAGAAGTCATATTAATGAAGGTTGGATTGCATTTTTTCGTCCTGCATGGATTTACTTGAAACTTTAACAGAAGATAGGGAATAGCACTAGGATCAATATCTATATGCCGAGAGGTGCATTTGTCCTGGGGGTGGTTTTGTTTTATTATTTTTTAAGTCAAATAGCGGGAAAACTGTACATTTTTCGAGGAAAACTTATAAAATCCTTTTTAAAATGTACATAATTATAGGTAACTTTTTCAACAATAATTCTTTAGCATGAAAATTAAGCAAGTTATGATAAAAATAAGGTAAATCCCTCCTTTTTTCCTCGAAAAAACAGATAACATAACCCTAATTACCCTCCTAATTAAAATAAATCTTTTTCCCTACCGCGGTCCTTTTTGAATATTTATTATCAATACATCCTAGAAGTTTGACCAATTTAAAATGCTTAATTTAAAAAAGAATCGAGCTTAAAGTGAAAAACAATTTTCCGCAATTTCGTAAAAAAAGCCCTTTTCTTCAAAATAACTCCAAACGTACTGGAGATTCAAAAAAACTGCTAGAGTTGCAAATTGTAGCTCTTTTGATTACAAAATTTCACTTTGCGTGGATTTTCTAGTAAATAAATGTTTGGCGAGAGATATGGTCGTTTAAAGCCTCTATTTGCGAACGAGCACCATCTAACTCGAGGCCATTAGACTCAGCCCATTTTATAAATAAATGATTTAAATCGATTTAATTTACATAGCCTTGTAGATCTTGAAAAAGCTTCAAAATCATTTCTGAATAAATTGTCTATCATTAAAAATATGTTTAAAAAAACCAGTATTTTTTTTTTCAAAATAATCGAATATTCCACTTCGTAGCATAAAATTGTGTTTGTTTTTGTCTACGACATAAAAACTTTTTAGTATATACTTTTTATAACTAACTAACTTTTGTAAGGTGTGCATTGAATTTGTTACATTTACCACATTCCAATTTTTTATGCAAATTGATGCAGGACGAAAAAATTCAGAGATTTTGCTATTTTTTGAGCTTACTTTCCTGGACTATATTTCAAAGGGAATTAATATTCTCGTTCTTTACTGGTAAATCTTTAGCTTGAAAACGATATGTTTGGGCCCTGGGATTTGATTTATTCAGATTTTGCGCTTTCACGACAAGCTTCAGTTGCTCTACAGACAGTAGGTAACAAATTCAAATGTAAGTCAGTGAATCGGGTGACTGTAAACCACCTTAATACCTACGTTAGATCGTATGGATCCGATCTCGTTTTGTTGTCGAGAATGACCATAGCAGTTTTAATGGGTGCTCCATCGAAATTCTTTCTCCGTGTAGAAATAGAAGAGTGAGTTAATTCAGTCTTCTTAAGTCCGTCCTGGGGAGACCACGTACCAAATTTTTCTGTTATCCATGTGCTGTTAGGTTTCATTTTATAAGCTAAAACATTAGTCTCATATAATTTATTTTGAAATGAAAATAGATGGAATACTAGAAAATAATTACGATTTTACTGTAAAGCTTCGTATTGTTTATTTCAATTACCTAATGAGTTTATTTTAATGGTATATCTCTGTGTTGTTTCAATTTGTTATTAGTTTGATTGCTATTGTTCATTGCAATTATTGGAAAGCGTCCGATCCACATTTCGAAAAACAATCCATCGATAGCGCATTGAAATTCGTAACTGCAGTGAGTACAAAAAAATATTCTTTGGCCTTTGTTCCAATATATTAGTGGGGAAACTCAAGCTACTTATTAAAGTTCAATATATTATGTATAAAGCAATAAGTTTATAAGAAGTAAATAAACTATTTAATTATACAAATCTGCTTACCCATTCTTAGAATAAACGAGTCGTCATCTTTCATCTGAGCTAACACCACATCAGAATCAGTAAGAAAATTTAAACTGTCAATTTCTATGCTTACTGCGGCGGCACTGCTTTCATTGATGGGTTTTCCGATAATCAGCCATCGGTATGGCAAAGCAAATTTTTTCGTAGAACTCGCCTAAGATTGATAAATGTTAAACCTTCTTGATGGAGTAATATTTCAGAAAATAATTGATTATAGGGTTCCATATTTATTAATTATTGTTATCACCTCGATTTTTTGATCGGAAAATCGCCTGAGTTCGATCTAGATAACGGACACAAAAATATCGAGATCGATCGAATGCAAGCAATTTATTCCTTAGATTGGCACATCATTTAATTCAATTCTTCCAAAGTACAGAAAATAAAGGTAATTTAGTTAAGTATCCTATTAGCTTTTTAGCCATCGGCTTTTCTTTATTCCATATGTATATATTTAACTTATAATTTTATAATAGGTAATTATTATTATTTATTTTATTTAAATTTAGACCTACTTACCTTTTCAAGAAATTCTTTGGTCTCCGGACAATTCAGATCCGTTATCACCAAAACGCGTTCTTGAAACATTGGTTCAGTAGCAATCCAATATTTGTTGACAAATTGAACAGTTTTTGGATTATATAAACTCATCAGGCGAGTCATCATTTTGATTTGTTTGGCTAAATAAAAAAAATACTAATTTTTAACACATTGCTGGAATAAACGCCGCTTTCGACAAAGACAAACAATCCCTGATACTGTTTCCGGCATTTACTGTTTTGACTGCGTAGAGGAAGGTCAAAAGTCCGCCGACTTTTTTGTCCGTCAAATTAGATCGCTTACAACAGCTGTATCGAGTTTAGCACACGACAGATTAAAAATACCACGCACAAAAAGTCCCCCGAACAACCGAGGATACCAAGAGATCGGACACAACAAAAGTACGCGAGTGCCCTCGTTAAAAATAGATTATTATAAATTTTCGTCCTAGAAGTACATTTTTATCCACGATTGAGGGACTTTTAGTCCTCCGTGGACCTTCCTTCCTTTGTGAAAATCCTTCGTCCGCGCAGACCATTAACATGTTTAAGTACAATCTTAATTATTTTGTTGTTACATAAGAAAAATTTAACTTTTAGTTCTGTTCGTTATTCTGGTAAAATGTAAAGTGACATTCATGCACTTCCAAGAGAAATCTTCTAGTATTCGATACTGACAAGTATGTATACAAATTCTTTGGTAATGTTCATGTACGAGCTTCGAATTTAATTAAACGATAATGATAATATTCCTATTTCCGTGTATGGTATGTATAGTTTGACAAAGATTAGCAAAAGGTAATTAACCGCGGATGAAGTTTCTAAATACATTTTAAAATACAATTCCAAAACAAGGTGTGGACGTATGATTATTAAAACGATTACGGAATGATTACTAACTATCTCGATTACAATCCATCTAGGCTAATATGTTACTGTATAATGCGATTCAACTAAGAATAGGATCGACAGGGCGCCATTTTGTGATGTCAAAGCTGTCAATTGAAACAAAATAGGTAGAGTGAGCAATAAAAGTTTTTCTTCGATAAAACTTATTTACTAAGATTAAGTGAGAAAAAACATCAGGTTTTTTTTAATAAAACTTATTTACTAAGATTAAGTGAGAAGAAACATCAGATTTTATTAATAAAATTTATTTACTAAGATTGAGAAATAAAACACCGATTTTTAATAACATTTATGACTGTGTGTTAAAAATATTAATCGGAATCTAGCTCTTCAATTCCGCTCAGCTTAGCATAACTACCGGAGTTGTCATCGTCGTCATATTTGTTTACAAATGTTTGGTTTTTTTATTCTAGAATTAGCTGAGTGCTAAAAAAGAGTTCCAAGATTTTTTGCAAACCGTACTTCTCAAGCGTCGTTTGACAGATGGAGGTCATTGACTTTCCTATTCTTATTTGAATCGCATTATATAGGTATTAACGGGATTGTTACCATGTAGAGTCTGTGCGGAAAGAGAATGGGCGTGGCGAAAAACGGAACTAACATTAAGATTTTTATTTGGCAATCAAACCCAGCAATCTGTAAAACGTCAAAGTTTTGTATTGATACGGATTTGTTTGTTGTTGTGATTTCTTGCGGTTTTTTGTATTTAATCATGTCTATAAGGGTTAAAATCTTACAAATACGGTAGAAAAGCGCTACAGCGCCCTCCAATCTAAATCCCATTCTCTTTCCGCACAGACTCTACCTTGTTTTTAATGAGTCGCTGATATTTCGGCACTGTTGCAAGCGCCATGATCACGGAGTAACTGAAGTAATTGCGGGTAGCTGTTATTGGCAGACATATCGGTCTAGTCTCTTACGTCATTTTTAACGTTCGTGTTAAAACAAGGTACTTACATGGTTGCTATTTCTTCTTTCAAATGTTTAATACTTGAAAAAGTATTCATTTGACATTGTGGGTTACCTACAATGCGAAGAGATGGCGCTGCCTTGCAGCTTAAGGCTAGGAAAATTTCGACGCGGCTAATAGAGCCGTGGTAGCATAATGGTCAGTGCATTCGCCCGGATTGCGAAGGATGCGGGTTCGAGCCCCGTCCGCTGCCTGGTCCGCGTGGATTTTTTTCTAGTAAACTTGTCTTTAGATTTAAATATATAATATGTTACTGGGTCTATAATGTTGGAACAGAGCGTAATTTATCAAATTAAGTATAGAAAAATAACAAGTAGGGTTTGTAGCGGGATTTCATCGAGTACGGTTGGCGTCGTATTTTAATTTATTCTTTAATTCGATCATAGTGGATATTGTTAAATAAAATTGGTGTAATATTGTGTTACAACCGTCTGCACAATTAAAGAATTAGTGGAATCTTTAAAATATACGCTATTCCGGTCAAGTGCACGTGAGAACTTTGTTGTAATGTTGATTACCTCACAGAAGCTTATCGAGAAATCAGACTCGATACATTTCGTGCCAATCGCTATCCAATTTGAGACTAGTTTTTTCTTACATTTTTCTTATTTTATTGCAATATTTTATTTGATATTGGTGAGATGAGAAATATTTATTCCCATTTAAATAAAACAAATGCCTTCGAGAAACATAGACACAGAAAAGTTTTATGGGTGTCTTTCAATTTCTTATCTCAATCTTCATTCACAGAAAAATGCTGTGGACTAAAGTGTGATTAGACCAATCAGATGATAACTAAAATTAAGTTAATACTTACACGACCTCCAACAAACATGTGCGATCACAGACGTCGCCTTATCCGTAGATTTTACAACATCAACAACCAATTCGATGACATGATCAACTTTTAAGCCAGAAAACGCACGCAAGGCACACAGGATGGAAATTAAACCAAATTGAAATATTTTCATATTGCTGATTTATTAGAAGCAAATTTTAATATGTCTCATGGAACGAAAATATTTAGACTTAAGTACCTCACCTTTTTGCTAATATTGCACCAATGCACTCTTTAATTGCTAGTTATATTCAAGCCAGTGTTTAATTATATGATGCAGCACCTTAGCCCTGGTTTACATGAGCGCTTTTTAATAGCTCTAAAAAATATCTAGTGGGTGCCATAGTGGGTATCTGTTCAGCGGTGAATTTTAAAGCGGGTTTTTTAAAAAGAAGTTTCTTTTCGAACGGTATGGTGAATACATGGGTGAAAAATTTTTAAGATATTTACATAACTATAATTTTTTTTTGGTTTAATAGGGAGATTGGATTCATGACTCGACGCGGTCCCAGTGCGGATTGGTGGGTAGGATATTTTTTTTATGAAATTATATGATTGGGCTATGACTCGCCACGTGGGCCCAATGCAGATTGGTGGGTAGGATACTTACCGTATATAAATATTTTCAACTTAAGCGAGTGTTCCACGACACTCACGTTTACTTTTAAGGTGAACTTAAGGCGTAAGAAGTAAAGTTAAAAGGAACCTTTTTTATGTTAGAAGGGTGGCAAACAAGCGTATGCCTGCCTGATGGTAAGGGGCCACAATAGTCTATCGACGCTTGCGATACCATTACTATCACACGCGCCGTTACCTACCCTCCCTGATCTACCCCACACCCTCCAGGCGTAACTGCGGGGTCCAGTTATGAGTCGCCGCTTGTTACGCCTGAGATCCTACTCCCTCGCGATGGTGCCGTGGAGCACCCCCTCCTTGGCAATCGCAGAAGGTACCGCTAGAGAACTAGAAGGCGGGCTCGCTCGCCGACCAGTCCTGCCGCTCCTGCGTCGAAGAGAGTTCGCGTAGGCTTGATCCTCGCGAACTCTCTCCGCCGCCTCTGACCTCTCAGAAGGAGGTCATCACCTGCCAGGATCTGTCACTTCCTAGCATGGCCCGTACCACGCTGGAGAGCTAGAGATCCATCCCCACTGCCCGCCGTTGCCTACCCTGACCCTATTCTTTACCCCGTGGAGGCCTGCCTGGAAACTTACTCGTCGACAAACACGCATCACCACCAAAAGGCAGTGATATTTAACTGTGATCTTCTGCAAGGTGAAGTTTACTTCCTCAGAAGGGCGCTTCAATTCAAGCGATAAATCCGCTGTGCCTTACCCGGTCTTAACTGACACTACTTACTTGTTTTACAAATTTATCATTTTAAAAAGCTCTGTTTCATTGAAAAAGCTCTCGTGCAAACTAGGGCTAACTTGTACGGTAGCTTGAAGCTTTCCCCGTTAATCATATGGGCGGTTTCTAATTAAAAGCAAACGTCCTCAGTAATTACTGTGCACATTTACATTTATTATGTGCAAATGAAACATGTTTGTTTACTACGTCGTCAGCGACCTTTCTATCTACTTACTTATAAACCGATACGATAACTATTATGTCATTGAAAGAAGTTCAGTTAGCGGGTGGTTCTCAAAAATTGCATGTTGTTGTTAAGTTTTGTAAAAACTTTTCTAGAAACTAAACTTTTGGAAAATGTGATGGTGATGAGTGTTCCTTTTGGGTATGTTCTTATATCTTATCTAACAAAAGGATCGTAATCTTAGTTAATGTAATTTCCTAATGTTTCTTTACTACATGATAGTTTTTTCAATAGGGTGTACCGTTGATGAATTAGATATTCAAAAGCTAGTAGGAAAATTGATACGATAGACCCGTAAGACAGTATCAACAAAGCAGGATAGCAGTCGACCATGCTCACTGATACGAAATTGGACTCTCTTCCCGAACATTTCGGTCTTTTTTCATACAGCAACCGGTTCTCTCTACTTTGGAGTCCATGTTCTTGAATTCTTTTCATTCTGATGAATAAGAAACAATAAAGATTTTATTCCAAGACTTACACCAATTAGCCTAGCCCCAAAGTAAGCACTATAAGGCTTGTGTTATGGGATACTAGGGTAACGAATAGAATACATATACTGTACAAATATAAGTATATTTATATAGAAAATAAAAATACATATTATTAAACATCCATGACTGGAGTACAAATGCTCGTGTTCATCACACAAACATCTGCCCCCACCGGGATTCAAACCCGAGACCTCTCGAGTCGGCGACACCATGAAACCCGGCGAACAAACCACTCGGCCACGGAGGTCGTCATTACTAAAATACAGATTTTAAAATTGCCTTGTACGCACTAGATTTGTTGATGTAAAAATCTATTACCCTATCTTGAACATCTCTTTATAAGGTGTATTCTTCCTCACTGCTAACCAGGGGTCTATTACTTGAAGGTACTGGATTTCTTTCAAGCCACATTTTTCACCCTCATTGAAGTATTTGCCCACAAATTTGTAACCCACACCCGTTTCCATATGAAAGGCGAATAAACCCTAGAATAAAATCAGAATTAAATTATTTAGCAAATAGTATTTCGTCCATTCAACTTCTATTTTGGTTATGCAAGAAAAATATTCGAAACTAGTATATACCCGCGACTACGTCTGCGTGGTTCAATTGATTTCTCATACAAACATAACCCCCCTTTTCACCACGTCCAAAGATAATAATTTGCGGTATAGAACTATCCTATGTCCTTCCTCGGGACTCAAAGTATATCTTTACCAATATTCATCTAAATCAGTTCTGCGGTTTAAACGTGAAGAAGTAACTGACAGAGAGACACACTTTCGCATTTTTATTATTAGTATGGGTATCTGCATTGATATGGTTAATTAGGTGTGTTGCCCTTATACTTTAATTCCTTAAAAGCCAAGAGAAAAACCCAGCCTAGACAATAATTGAAGACTTAAATAATATGGTGGATCGTGGTTATAGTGGTAAGCAAAATTGTAATAAGAAATAGATTCTTTCAAAAGAAGTCCTTTTATTTAGCTACCTTTATTTTATCTTTTTGATGTTATTGAAAGTGAAACGAGTTTAATCACAGAACAGAGTAAAATTATTCTACTTCTATGCTTATCAATTCTCTATCCCCCTTATTAATAATCAACGAATAAGCTTAGACTAGTTACGCCGTGTTTTGTTCATGTCACTCAAATGCAATACGTCATTCAAAAGACAGAGACAAAATATGGAGTAACAAATCCAAGCGTAGTCTTCGTTTATTCATAAAGGGTTATAAGTTTTATTTTCCTCTATGTAACATAAACAGCGAAGAGAAGTCATTAACCAAAAATGTTTATTTAGTTTAAGTCACGACTTCACGACATAGCCCATGTTGGCAAGGTAAATATTTTACGTTAACTCGTTTGAATCAACAATACTTAACTTTGTGAACATCGACCGTATAAAATTATTAATTTAACAAAACACCTAGGCTCACTTTCTGTGGCTTCAAATGCCATCCTGCCTACATAGCAGCACTTTTTTATAATTAGCAATTAGTAATAGTGATAATCACAGTCCATATACTATCGCGTTATTTCTTACTACATTAATTACCTTTCGCATCTTTATTACTCCTTCGTCCATAGTCATAAATCTGGGCTTAGTGCCTGGTGGTGCTACTTTTTTCTCGTATATTGCTTTTCTGACAGGTTCTGTAGCAGTCTGAAAATATTTAAGCGCTTTCTTCCGTATATATTTTTCAAAATATCTAATACTTATTACACAATTATTATTTGTTTTCCATACCGAAAAGTAGTACCGATTGAAGACTGTGTCATGTACGCCAAATTTTAACCTCGAATGTAACATATCATCCAAATTTCTTATTTTTGAGGAACTGGATTGCAGTAAAGCAACTATGTTCGCAGAGTATGACGTGTAGAGGAACATTAGTGCTAAGAACAGGATCAGCATAACGATTCGACCCAAAGACCCTGAATGTACACAGAACTGAGTTTAGTCATTATATTTCTTAAAAATACTAAAGTGATATTCTAGAATCACCTTTGAGTTCTGTCGGACTGCCCTGCTGACAAACTGCACCAAATATTAAAATCACCACGTCTGCCAAATTGGGTCTTAATATACCAGCATCGGTATTTCTCTGTAATCAATAATTTAAAATATATTAGCACCAGTTCTTTTTAACTTTTTTGAGGATCTGGATGGTGCATCGGCAAGCGGGTTCGGTTTTAGTCTGAGATAGTAAAAGTTAAACACCTAAAAAATGTCCGGTCTGGGATGACTGACGAAAAAGCTCCTCCTTGCATAGCATTCGGAAGACATGTTAAGCCGTTGGCTCCATCTCCATCTGCAGTTGTCAGTATCAATCTACCAATATGAACAGAGCCCGCGTAGTGGGCCTTGTCTATTCTCTCTATTTCGACAAGAGATTGGGAATAAAATGACTGTTAATGATTTATTAATCAGAAATACTATGTAAACATTAATAGCTTACCGAATTCCCGATCCTTTGGTTCTTCTTCCATTCCCACATGGCTACTATCATTATGGCAAATAACAGCAACGCGATGAGAGCCGTACTGCTGTACCACACAGACGTTCGGAAGGAAAGTAAAAACAAATTATTTTCGTAAGACAACTTGGGCTGTTGGAACACGAACTTGGATCTTGTCGGTGTAGGACTTGCTATGTAGTCCACTATCGAAATTCTTTCCGAAGTAAAAAACATTGGAGATCCTTGAATATTGAACATATATTTAAAACATTAGCAACGAAAATACTTTGTACCGATACGCTATTTTATTTATAACACTTATTGGATAGTAAACAGAATAGTGTCTGATCTGGAAGACGAAGAACATGTCAATAAAAAGATTAATTTTCAATATATTACGTATAAAATGTTGAGCTTAATCTCACTGATTTTCTCAAAAATAATCTGTTCAGTACCTCCAATTTCAACTTCTTCTCTTATCAGGTACCCTGTCATGCCATTCCAAGATCCATTAACTCTGTATCCCCAAGTTTCTGTAAATATATACTTTCTGGACGCATTGAGGAAATCCAGCAGGTGATTCGTTGTAGGGTAATTTACTTTCGTTATGGTATCTATATGATCATTCCTGAAACATTGAAACCCAAAAAAGAATATAAAAAATTTCCTACATTGTTTTAAAAATTCCTGAAGTAATTTTACAATATTTGACTAGAGAATATACAAAACGGTTTCATTAATAACTAGATGATCCGGCGAACTTCGTACCACTTACAATAATTTAAAGGAAATGTTTTTGATTCAAAACCATTAATTTAATACGTGCTTCAATTCGAATGGACCCGAGTCTACCGTACTGAAGGGTAGTTTTTAAGGTAGTTAGAAAAGTTTATATGGTAAAATGAAATTGTTGTTTTTATTATATTAGTCTTAATTTTTCCTTCCCTGGACTATGATAAACATTTCAAAACCAAAATCAGTTTTGAAATATTGGTTTTAAATTTCAAATTAAGTTGTAATTCCAATTTTTTACTTACATGCCATCGGTCAGATGATATATACTGTCTTTATCAGTTAACACATAGCAAATACTTATTTCAACTCCATACAAATTAAGTCTACGCAAAGCCGTCGAGCCAATCGTAGTATGTTCAATATTATTTATTCCAAAATTTTCTTTCCAATTTCCGTATTGTTCATATTGCCATGAATGATTTGCACTTATTTTGTAAACTGCAATATTAAAATGATATGTTTAGAACCCACTGATGACTTATCACATTGTATAAAAAGTTTGAAATAAATACATTTTTGTAAATAATTAATAAAACTTATTTGTAACATTTATTGGATCTACAACATTTGCAGGATTTTCTTACTGTAATATAATTCAAATGAATCGTTATTATTATAACGAACAACCAATACTTCCGAATCCGGCATAATATCGATATTGGCTATGGTGTTGGGAATTCTGTCATTGCTGTTGTCTAAACCCAACAAAATCCATCTAAAAGGTGCACGAAAATAATTCTCCTTACGTTTCTGAAAAAGCATAACATTAAAAAAAATATGGTATATTTTGCGGTTTCTTCGTTTACTTATTCAAGTGTTAATACAAAAAAAGGAACCTTTTCAAAATATTTCGTTACGTTCTGACAGCGTGCGTCAATTGTGAATACTATATCTTGATCCTGACCGTAAGTTTTGGTTTCTTGATTTACATCAACAAACTCCACTGTTATTTGCAATTTACTTGTTTCAGTTAAACTCCGGTAAAATTGTCGTTTATCCGCTGCAATCGAGTAAGAATAAATGATATTCAGTTAAATTGGGAAGGTAAATAAATGGTACCTAAACTAACAATAGTCACAACAATAATAGAAAATAACGGAAATAGATTTTCATTGGTCGTTTCTTTAACCGCATTAAGTATGCTCCACTTTATAAAAGGCAACAATATTCTATAGAAACATTACTAAATTTAGATATTTTTTCTTACTTGTTGACCAGCAGAGCGTGGCGACCACCACCGATGGCCTTTTCGTAAAGTTAATGACGTCACTCACAATAGATGCTTCCAAATTTTTCGCATTTGAAAATGTTAAAGGCAAACAAACAAGACAAATGTATATTAAAAATTTCATGATGACAAAAGACAGGTTAGTACGCAAGTAAGTAGCTCCGCAGGTACTACCGTTGCGAGTGCCAGAAAATATTTTTATAAAAATCTACAATACGGTTTTACAAGAAAAATACCTCGTCTTTGTTATACATACATTTTTAAAGCTCGTTTTCATAAAAAATGCAAGCATAATAGAGCAAAATTGTATCTGCATGAATTCTTAACTGTACAAATATAGTTTTGCTAGTCGTTGGCGTTATTTGGGCGAGTTATTTTCTTAATAATTTCGTTTCAAGGTAACTTTTCACCATTTTAGAGTTGGTAAGAATCCTAAGCCAAAACTTACGTGTCTTTGTCTCTTGTTCTCAAAATTGTAATGTGATCAAACCTTAAATGTCTCAAGCTCTGCCGTAATTTAGGTGTAAGTTATTTATGAAGTCATTAATACTGATGTAAGGTTTGCAATATCACTATCCATCATCATCATCAACAGCCCATCTTATTCCACTGCTGGACATAGGCCTCTCCAAATGCACGCCACTCATATCGATCTTGGGCTACTCGCATCCAGCTCCTGCCAGCCACCTTGCGCAAATTGTCACTCCATCGTGCCTGAGGACGTCCTACACTACGTTTGCCTAAACGCGGTCTCCACTCCAGAACTCGTCTACCTCAATGGTTATCGGTTCTTCGGCAAATATGGCCATCCCACTGCCACCGCCACAACTTGCTAATCCGGTGGGCTATGTCGATAACTTTAGTTCTCTGTCGGATTACCTCATTTCTGATGCGATCCTTCAGAGAAACGCCGAGCATAGCCCTTTCCATAGCGCGCTGAGCGACTTTAAACCTGTGGACCAGCCGTACCGTCAGTGTCCACGTCTGGGCTCCGTATGTCATCACAGGTAGGACGCACTGATGGAAGACTTTCGTCTTTAGGCACTGTGGGATCGACGATGTCAGGACTTGACGTAGCTTCACAAATGCTGCCCAACTTAGCCGAATTCTTCTATTCACCTCGTCCTCAAAGTTGTTTCTACCTAATTGCAATGTCTGCCCGAGGTACACATATTTTTGAACAACTTCGAGAACGGCACCGTGTATTGCAATCGGTTCCGGTAGAACATGTTCATTGGACATGAACTTTTACGGTTTTATCCAAGTTCATCCGTAGGCCGATGCGTATAGAAGAGTCAGCCAGGTCGTTCAGCATTTTTTGTAGTTCCTGCAGGTTTTCTGCGATGATGACGATGTCGTCTGCAAATCGCAAGTGAGAGATGCGTTCGTTATGTTGATGCCACGTCCTTTCCAGTTCAGCGTCTTGAACATATTCTCCATTGCATTAGTGAACAATTTCGGGGAAATAACGTCCCCTTGTCTCACTCCACGATGCAACGGTATGGGACTGGTTTGCTGATTCTGTACTTGCACAGACATGGTGGCGGCTTAGTAGAAACATCTAATGATTTGGATGTATCGCCAGTCGATTTGGCAACGCTGCAGGGACTCCAAGACAGACCAGATTTCAATCGAGTCAAAGGCCTTCTCATAGTCCACAAATACTAGGCACAGGGGCTGATTGTACTCTTCAGTCTTCTGTATAATCGGCCGTACTGTGTGGATGTGGTCTATGGTGCCGTATCCGCTCCGAAACCCTTGCTTGTTCCGGTGGTTGGAAGTCATTAAGTCTACGTGCAAGACGGTTCGCGATTACTCTTGAGAACAGCTTATAGACGTGACTTAGAAGGGATATGGGTCGATAGTTCTTAAGAAGAGGCTTGTTCCCCTTTTTAAAGAACAAGACGACCAGACCACACTCCTACTCCACGCCTCCGGAGTTCTCCCTCGAACAGGACAGTGTTAAAAAGCTTTTGGAGCTCCCTCAGTACAGGTTCACCTCCAGCCTTTAAGAGTTCTGTTGTAACACCATCCTCTCCAGATCGGATCAGGAATTCGTTAGTAATTCTTTTCTTTACTTGTTTTACTACAACAAAGCATAGGCAAAGTGAACGAAACAATGTGGTTGATGTTATTAATCAATTGTTAACGAGATGATTTCTAACCGGGTCTGGGCACGGTTTTAAACCGTTTCTACATTCGGTCGTCAGTTAGGTATTGGACCATATGGAGGTTTTATAGGGTCAGTACAAACTTACAAACCGTGCTCGAGAACAAGCTAAAGCCGGGTACTCATTAGCGAGCTGTAACCGTAACCGTTACATGCACTGTAACCAAAAGGCATAGTGTGTACGTGGTTCGATAACCTGCTGCGAGCGGTACGAGTGCGGTTTGCAGCGGGCCTACGTTTACAACTGACCAACAGGCGTACGCACTAGAACCTCGTACTGTATCACGCATGTTACAGCTCGCTAATGAGTACCCGGCTCTTAGCCGGTCCGGTTTGAAATCGTTTTGTTAACAAGCGCACTGTGTAATCTAAGATGGCTTTTAGGTATCTATAACGAATTCTAATAAACAATACCAAAACGTTCCCGTTATTATGATAATGAAAATAGCATAATAAGAAATACAGTTTCGATGCCCTTATAAGATAAGTCTCAGGAGCGTATCGGCGAAACATTGTACTGTAGTTGATAACCATATGTCGTATTCGTATTTGTTTACATACATGTGATAACGAGAAATACTAAGTATTTTTCCGTTAGGAAACATTGCACATCAAACACAATATTGATTTACGCCCGTTAAGAGAGTTATTCGACTTTTTTAAGACTTTTTCCAAAATGCAGGGCATTCGCCCATATTGAAACCAAAAGTATAAGTATAAGTTTTGTTCGATACCGTTAGTATTAGTATCGAAACAAAAATATTTAATGAGTAAAAGTATCGAAACAGAAGTCTCTTCTTCACAACCGACTAATCCTAATCGTTACTTCCTATCGTTTCGTATTCATAGCCGAGTCTTTTGAATAGAGGTACTGGAGGATTCACGTAATATCCGTTCTCTATGTTTGAAGCGCCCACCTATGTCTGAAACCCCTTCGTACGGCCAACATCATGCTTGCAAACCGATTTTCCCGTCATCAGACACGTTACGTGAACCATCCAGTCTAAAGACAAAGGTTTACACGCGGCCAATAGTCTTGGCCGTTTTTTCATTTTTTTTTTGCTGCCCTAGACGTTCGACCCTACGGAAAGGGCTCAGGTATTTTACAGATTTGGAGAATGCGTAAAATGACGTGAGACGTTATAGTAGAGAGCCCAAACGGGGGGGGGATTTTGGGATTTTCTCGCGGCAGAATAACATAATGGAGGCAACTTTACACCTTGAGTACTTCATTCTCTAAATCTGTAAAATGAAACATTTCATATAAAGTTCATTTGATGTTCATAAAATATCTTGTTATTTAACAATTTAAAAATGAAACATAATGAAGACATAGATAAAAAATGTAATGACGCTATTAAAAAAAAATTAAGACCACTTGCAAACCCAAACTATATAAATCAGACCCGTCTTTCCCAGTGGGCACTTTGAGCAAGTGCCCAGGGCCCCGCGATCGATAGGGGGCCCCCTCAGATCAAATACAAATTCCTAGTTCCTGTTAAATCACCAAACGGAAGTCACAGGGGCCTCATTATTCTAATATGCCCAGGGCCTCAAAAAGGTCAAAGACGGCACTGATATAAATATAGTTTTTTTGTGGATACATGCAATAAACATTAGTAAGCACATACAGATTAAACATTTACGATGGTTTTCAAAAACTGGTCAAGAGCCTTTGTGTGTTTTTATTGCATTTCGTATAAAAAACGCTTTGAAAAAAATTACTGTGGTTTTAAAAAAAAACAATGTAAGTGAAATTTTTAATGGGATTCGAACCAGGGCCGCCCCACGTAGCAGGCAAACTTTCTACCACTGAATCACGGATAAATAATGAAGAAGTCAGTTTTTTAATAACAATTATAAATGTAATGCGACCTGCTAAACGTTACAAAAAAAATGGTAGCAATGTAATAAAAGTTTCATTTAAAGTGTTCTTTGTGCTTAAGACCACACGACTGAAGTGAAACGTCATTAGCACCATCTGTATCTATATATATGGGTGTGTACAATATATACATGTATGTATATATTGTACCAGCTATCTTTACATCTGGACTTCACCATCACTTAACATCAGATGGGGTGGAGTCATTTGTCGGACCTATCTATATATATATATATATATATATATATATATATACGTATTTCATTTACAAGCTATAACAGAAAGAGAGCAAGAAAATGTGTGCGCACTGCTTTCTCTTGGTTATATCCCCCACTCAACTCCCGTTCGCCTCGCCCGAACACACTTTTCGTAACGCGTAACGCATTCGCCAGCTCACCTCCCAAGTCAAGCGTAAAGAAATTTCACTTCAATAACTTATTAATCACAACAGAAGTCAAATCACATAACTTATTAATTTAGAATAACCCACCTTATTTTATAGTAAAACATGAGAGCGTTACATTTCATTATCATCGAACGAATAATTAAATTCAGAACAAATTACATCACGAACTGTGCACTCGCTTCTGTATTTATTAATTTTGTTTTACTAAAATACATGTTTACTCGTGGAATGAAATACAATCGAATTTACCAAAGGACCGCTGATAAAAAAAAAGTGACGCGAGTTATGAATGTGCTGCTGAAGGGGTTGGC